GAGAGAGAGAGAGAGAGAGAGAGAGAGAGAGAGAGAGAGTATAAAGGGAGCATTGTTTAACAAAACTTTTTTTTCCTATTATATTGAGATTTGCCTTAGTGGAATTAATTTTGTATTTGTTTTGGTCGAGACTTAATTTTGCATTTTAAGGATAGTCATAATAAACCCAATGATAATATTCACACGTGCGTTCCGATAGAAAATATGAAAAACCAAAGAACTAATTAATTTGAACAGTTTTATATATACACGTCAAATGGATTATATTAAGAAATGCGTGAGAATTAATGTCGAGATGTTAATTATATTTATTCTCAAATATCAGGCATTATTCTCTTGTTGTTATATGAAGTCAGTGCTGGAGAATGATGCTTGGGAATCTTTTACAACATGTCTTTTATTTGAATGTTATTAAACTGTCGTCATTCGTACTCACATGAAAACAATGTCGAAACTAATTTATTTTGTCTTTGATTTTTTTTAAAAAATAATAATGTAGAAGAGTGCATGTGAGGAAAAGAACAGTATCATGATTTATTCTCTGTTACGAATGCCCTTGAGAGTTATTTTGTTGACACACCGGTAAATTATGAAATGTAAAGAGATGTAAAATAACTCTAACCCTTCGTTTAGATGAGGAAAAAAATATAGAGGAAATAAATATTTTTTTATATTTTCTTTCTACTTTTCCAATCCACATGAGTTTGTTGGATTAGATTTTACTGTTGATTGTGAAGATCTTATTGATAGATAATTTATGAATATTTTTATTAATATTCTTTGAGTTTGAAAGTATATCTTAGACCTGGTGATGATGCTTCCCGATCCAACTCACATAATTTTTTTATACCAAAAAAAATTTCAGTTTCCATATGAAACAAAGAATAAAAGAATCTTTTTCAAATAATTAATTGAATTGAAAAATAATAAAAAAATAATTCATTATACATATTACATCTCTCTTTTTCCATCTAATGGAAAAGGAAAAACAATAAAAAATAAAAAAAGAATCCTTTTCCTGCAATAATTAATGACATAAACAGTTAATTTGGCATGCAGAATAAATAAAAGAAGAAGAAGAAATGGTATGTGCTTCCAATAAAAAAATAGCAAAAAGGGCAGTTATTATTAAATAATCATGGATTCATGGTAAAATATAATCAGCTAATATAATTAACGTAAATACGTTTACAATACTTCTATCAAACATGATTAGGGTTGTCCGCATAATTAACTGGACTCATTCATGGCAATTTCAATATTAATTATAGAAAAAATGATAGTATAAAAATTAAAAATGTACGTTTTTCTTGCACCTTGAATATTTTTAAAATATCCAGATATTATTTTTAACAACATTATAATTAAGATTGTCCACTCATTTAATTCTTACAACTAACAAGCTCATAATATAATAAAGGATTAATGAGTATCATAAATCTTAAACTATTACGTGAATAACATCATCGATTTTGAATTCTTGAAATATGAAAAAAATTTCCTTAACTTTTAAATTTCAAGCGCTTTAAACCTTACTGTTAAGTTGAAAAAAATGATTGTTATTTTTATAATATGTGGAGCCAGTCACATGTTGGTATAAAACTCATCTTAACCTTTAAAAATAATGGACGTTTTCTCCAATTTAACGAAAGAGTATTTTAAGCCCTATGAAATTTAGAAATTGAAGAAAACTTTTACACATTTTAAAAATTTGGAGTCTAAAATATTATTCACGTAATAGTTTAGAATACATAATAGTTATTAACCCAACAATAAAAATGTTACCAGTTGCTGTGCTTTTTTGAATTGTGAAGCCTATCTTCTTTTTTTGGGGGGGGGGGGGATGTGAAGCCTATTATCATAACTTCACACCTGTAAGGAGACTGATCAAATTCAACTCAACTGATTTTAAAAAAAATAGTGTAAGATATAAATAAAACATGCATGCATATTAAAATGTAAAATTATTTTATATCAATTCAATATTTTCATGACTATCTCGTCAAAATTTTAAAATAAAATATCATATGGTAATTTCTTCGAAATTGAACAAATCACATGCGTGAAAAATATAAATATATTACATAACAACACCATGATGTAATGTAATTAACCTTTTTGGTAATGAACGGCAACCACTTTTGTAGCCTATAAATTGCTAATATTTAATCTGTAAAACAAACAAATACTATACAAACTCCCAATACGTCAACGTATCATATTTGAGACACACACATACATATGGTTCATTTGTTTTTATTATGTTCATTATGAAAAATTTTCTAATGCTCCTATTATTACAAAACTTAGATATAAACAATAACAGTACTCTATATGATGTCTATCTACTTCTGGTTTACTTATAAATTCTATGGTTTCTAATCTAATTAATTCACCAATTAAGTGTTGTAATCTAGTTTTATTAATTTGTAAGTTTTCAAATTACATTCTGATGTTTGATAAAACAATAATTTTGTTACCTTTCCTTCACATACTAGTGGCTAATGGCTTTGACAAGAGTACTGCTAAATTCATAGAATATTTTTAAAATCATTTTTGAACAATTTTTTGGATATAAAACTGACCAGTATATTATCACGTATTTTGGAGCAGTTAATTAACTCTCACTCTTTCACGTATGCCTTTATTTTTCTTCTTTTTGTTTTATGTTGTTTTGGTAATATATAAAATCGGGAGCAAGACACCGGAAGATCCAAAGCCATTTCAACTAGCATTAATTTTATTATATATGTATTGAAAATCTTATCGTAAAAATATTATATATGCGACTGAACTCTTCCAAGATCTATTTCAATAGAAAATGAATGGAATCTTGGGTGCCGACTAAGAGGATAAATGTTAATTATTCTTAAAGCGTTACAATATATGTTCATAATTTTTTGTAAGATGTGTTTAAATCAAATAAAACGAAATCCGTCTGGACATAAAGCAAGAGAAATTATCAGTTATTATTAGAGTGCTAAAAAAACCAGTTCAACAAAATCAGACTGATCTCCTAATAAAAATAACGCCAAATTATATTATTATTTATTTTTCTATTTTATTACTTACTGTCCTAGAAGTGATAAGTGAGTTCCATACATTCACGAAAGTTTAAAATGTAGTAATTCATGTGAATAGGACACTTTTATGCAAATTTTATATGATTATTTCATATTAAAGAAAATGCCACAAGCTAGGAATTGTCAATTTATACAAGGAATATTTTGTTGTGGTTTGACTATCCAATGGAAAAGAGTACAAAACATACAGGCACTTCAAGTATGCTAAGTGGCATTTTATGCATTGTTAGCCAATAGCCACCATGAGGTGTTGTTGAAAGTCCGCACTAAATCACATTCTGTGTGACTCAATTAATTACTCTTGATGAGGTGGGCAACTGAGAGAATAAAATGTGGACTTCCCTTCTCTTTCTCTCTTACTTCACTCACTCATATTACCAATTCACAAGACTTACTTGGAATATTCCACACTTGGGAGTCGCCTCACACCTATTTTATTATAACGTGAAATACTACGTACTGCATCTTTGATTTTTTTTACAACTTGACACGATTTTATTTTAGTCTCTTAATTATATAAAGCGTCTTTAGTTTTGTAATTCTGATATTGTTAGTTTCATTAATAAAAATTGTTGACATTAACTTTTAAATGTTGACACAACATTATGTCTAATTTTTTCAAATGTTGACAATGATTGGTACAAAAAATCACCATTTAGGACTAAACTGATGCTAGCTAGTACTTTATAAAATTAAGGATACTAGTAGTTATATATACATATGTATAATGTGCACTTTTGTCTATATATTTATATATGTTGATAAGTGACGCCTGAGTGTTACCAATTATTATTTACATAACAATGTAATAGTTATAATTTGATAACTGGTTTTTGAAAACTCTATTGGATAGGATCTCCTGACTCTAAATGGAGCCAGGTCAGACCACATGATTATGAAGCTCTCATTTATTACTGCAATTTTCTCCCTACTCAAACTCTGAGACTTTGGTTTAATTAAAAAGATGAGGATCGGAATCAAACTGCTTGAATCAAAGCCGGGGATATAGATTATAATTGTTTTTTGACTTGTAGAAATATCAATAATGAATTCATGTTGATCTCCATGCATGGAAACTATATATATATATATATATGATGATGATGATGATGATGATGATGATGTGAGAATAGAAAGAAAAAGATATACTTAAAAAGAGAAAAGATTAATTTGTGGGAGAGATTAAGGAAAGTAGATGAATTTGGATTTGTTAAGTAATTAACCTAAATCCACTCACGGTACTTAATGATTATCAAGATATACATCTCCCACCAAAAATCTACACAATCAAAACACTCCTAACTTACATTACTCCGTTTAAAAATTCAATACTTTTTTTAGTATTATATAATAGAATCTCTGACAATCATTTGATTAAATCACAAAAGTATTAAATTAAATGGTCGTGTATTGTGTTATGTGATGAGACATTTATTGAGTGTGTAGACTTAATTAAGCCACTAACCGAAGCCAAATCCGAAGGCGAGAGGGATGGATGAGGATGGGAGAATGACGAAAGGAGAGGTTGTGTTGTTGTTGGGAATAGGATACGAAATAAGAGAGAGATAAGGCCTTTGCCTATGTGTGGCCCCAAACCCATCATCTTCTGCTTTGCTCACAGTACGTAGCTAGCCTGTTCAACAGCGACATTATTAATCTTTCTTCTCTTCTTTACTTGCCTCCCTTAATTCACTCTCAATTAATTATTCCTTCCTCACATATATCATCCATATGCATGTATGCGAGCAGTATGGGTGGCCAAGCATGTTCTGTATTATTTATGTGCATGACATCAAATGATTGAGGAATAAGAAACCAGAGGGCTAAATTTTATGCACAACAAAACAATAGCCAGAGAGAAAAACAGGATAGGTAGGTCTACAATATACTTACATGCTTATTTACTTACAGGCAGCCATTGTTTTCTTCTCTCTCTCTCTCTCTCTCTCTCTCTCTCTCTCTCTAATTCCTTTCCGGATTCTAGCTGTCTCCTAATTCGATTCTTTATATTCCCTGGTGTTTTCTGGGTTTTATAATCTGAGAAGGGAAAAAAAAAAAAATCTTTTTCTTCTACGAGATCAGACAAAGAGATCTGGGAGAGAAGAACCAAAAAGAAAAAAGAAAAAGAAAAACCAACATACATAAACATACTTCAGGTTGTCTAGCTTCTTCCTCCTCCTTCGTTTTCTTCTGCAACTTTTTAATTTCTCCTTTCCTTTCTCTCACAAGATTATTTTTTTTCCTTCTCTTTTTTAATTCAATTTTTCTTACAGATTCGCTTGACTTTTCCCAAGAACATGTCTGCTGCTTCCTCGTCTTCACCGTTCTTCGGAATCAGAGAAGAAAACCCAATTCAGATGACACAACAGCATCATCAATCCTCCACAGCTGCTTCCTCGACTGCTCCAAACACAGTAGTTCCTCAAAAGAAACGAAGGAATCAACCTGGAACACCAAGCAAGTACCTCTACATATATATACATGTTCTTAATTATATATACCAATTCTTATCATCACATAAAATAAGACTCTCTTGTTTGATTCATCCCGAGCTTTTTCTCTCAGAAGCTTATAGGGCCTGCTTTCATGGTTGAAGTAATTAAAAGTTCGACCCATCTGCAGCCATAATTTTCTTTTTCAACAGTTTTGAGTTCCTTTTTCTGGTTTCAATATCTTTTCAAGTGGTTGAGTTCTTCTTCAGCTCTCGAGCACATGGATACAGTACAGAAATCTCTAACTTTTTGTGGTTTGTCATTTTCCCCGAAAACGCACAGATCCAGATGCGGAGGTGATAGCTCTATCTCCAAAGACTTTAATGGCGACAAACAGATTCATATGTGAGGTATGCAACAAAGGGTTTCAGAGAGAGCAGAACCTACAGCTTCACAGAAGAGGACACAACCTTCCCTGGAAGCTGAAGCAGAAGACAAACAAAGAGCCAAAGAGAAAGGTTTATCTGTGTCCCGAGCCTACATGCGTCCACCATGACCCTTCAAGAGCTCTCGGTGACCTCACTGGGATTAAGAAACACTACTCTCGCAAACACGGCGAGAAGAAGTGGAAGTGCGAGAAGTGTTCCAAGAAATACGCTGTTCAATCTGATTGGAAGGCACATTCTAAGACTTGTGGCACCAGAGAATACAGATGCGACTGTGGCACTCTCTTCTCCAGGTAATTAACACTCGATTGTCTCATTAATTAATCTATCACTTTTAGCTGTCATATCTGCATTAATTGCTGGTTGTGATATATATATATATAAATATAGCTGATAATTCGTTTCTGCAAATTTGAGGAATAGTTTCTCGGGGATTCTAAGACTTGCATATATATTTAGGTACTTCTTACAATTGGTGCTGCTAATTAATTAACAAAATGATGAGTAATGTGGCTATAAACCGTCGCATGAGAGCCGGCCCTTTCGAAAGTTGCATTGATCAGTTCCTTTAAGTTTATGATTGAAAAGCAGCATTTTAATTTACAGTCATATTACTCATTTTAATTTACTATGTATGTCATTTTATATTAATTATTTGTTATTAATTAAGCTTAATGTGAGGATAATAATAATGGCCGAAAGTAAAGAAAGTGATCAACTAGCTTACAATGACTCGGACTAAACAGTAGCATGGATTCCTCGGGAAAACTGACTTACTATGAGTTAATTTTAGCCGTCCAAATCAATGAAGACATTCTAAATTTATTATTTTGTTATAAAACTAAAAAAAAAAGATTATTTTGAGGAAATCTAATCAACTGAGCAGTCAAATACTCATCAAATGATGGTCGGGTGGGTGTGTTGGGAGATGATGAGGGTGAGGAGGAATATGGCAGAAGACTGGTCGCACGTGAGTGCTTCACTGTAAAACTAGGGTTTCAAAAAATGAAAATGCGTTTGGTTTGAGAGAAAAAAACAAGGAAAAGTTAAAACCTCTGGTCCTTGGGAACATCGCCCTTAACCCTTATTCCCCATTCACGTGTAGTTATAAGCAACAATGCAAAGGGACAGACACACTGATGATACCAGGTTTTGTTCTCTTATGAGTTGGCTATTTGTATTTAGTTTCAATTGTATTCAGGTACCTTCTCGCCATGGGACCTAGATGCATCAACATTAATAGAATATATTAAACGTAAATTCATTTTCCACATTTCCATGTGAATGATATTAATTCTCCGATCTATATATAGTCTTTGTATTTCCTCACTTGTTTTCCGAGAATTTGGCGATTCTCCCGCTGGTACGATTGTGCTGAAACAATGCTCATCATGGAAATTTAATTAGTGGACAAGACATGTGAGATAGTTTTCATTTATTGAGGTTGGTCCCATGCCCAGGCATATCAGTATTGACTTTCATCCAATATGCAAATAATTTTCTCTTTTCACTCGTTCAAAAAGATGCTTCAAAGTGGAATTTCTAGTTGGAATTATTGGCTTTACATCACATTTTGGCATAATCCTCTGGGCCCTCCTCTCGCTCGTAGTCTAATCTTCTTTATTGCAATTATGGCTTAGCTCTGAAAATAATTAATTACATTACATAATTACATATACATTTCTGTTTATATATGTCGTATAATATTTGCTTCGATCTTTCCTCTGCGACTAATATCTGAAATTAATTCTTGACCAAAATATTTACTACTTGTTAAGCCTACAAATCATGCATGTAAATGTATATGTATGTTGTATATCTTTCACTTTAGAATTAGAATGCACATCTTATATTTAAAAATAACGTATAAGTACATGTGTACAATTAATTTCATACATGTGTATGTGCATATATACGCATGAATTATTTTATATTTTAAATAATGAATGAATAATTATGTATGTGTACATTCTTGCATACTTAAAAGTCGTCAGTATATGTGTGTGAGATATTTTGAAACATTATTAATTGACATGGCATATATGGTAACCGTTAATTTCCATAACGTTTTGATGCAGACGTGACAGTTTCATCACTCACAGAGCCTTCTGTGATGCCCTAGCACAGGAGAGTGCAAGGAACCCGACAACCTTAAACCCTATGAGCGCTCATAATCTTTATGGCACAAACTACCAGCAAGTTGCGGGTTCCACGATGTCGCACCATCTTCATCATCAAAATCTTCACGCTCCTGCAACAAACCCTAATACCAGTATCTTGCGTCTAGGCAATGCCAATGCAGCCAAGTTCGAGCCCAGCTTAATCTCTCCCTCTTCAAACCCATCAATGCCAAATAATTCCTCGGCTTTTTTCATGACAGATCCCATTCCTAACCAAGGATTTCATCAAGAACATCATCATCATCATCATCCATCTCAGCAGCAAGCAGCATTTTCGTCTTCAAGCAAGGCTTCGTCTATACATGGTCTCATGCAGCTTCCTGATCTTCAAGGAAACCCTAGTAACAACAACAGTTCGTCCAATCCTTTTAATCTAGGTTTCTTCCCTAATAACAGTATGATCTCTGATCAGTTCAGTAACCCTATTGGCGATCATCACCATGTTGGGTCTGGTTTAGCTTCGTCAGTGCTCTTCGGCAACTCGATCGACGACGTTTCTCCAGCGGCGGCGCATATGTCTGCAACTGCATTGCTTCAGAAAGCTGCTCAAATGGGTTCCACCACAACCACGTCGAATAACGGCTCTTCCTCGTTACTCAGAGGAATGGGTTGTTCTTCAACCAATAATAACAGTGGTGCTAAGTCGGATAATCTCGCCACTTTTGGAAGTGACGTTACAGAAAACGACCATCATCAGCATCTTCGAGGGCTGATGAACTCTCTTGCTAATGGGAACCATTCCATATTTGGAAATGTGCAAGCAGTAGGGAATGATCATCAGGCTAATAGTCTGCAACAGAATCTGGGTGTTAGCTTTGGAGGTTCTGATAAGTTAACGTTGGACTTTCTGGGGGTCGGAGGAATGGTGAGAAACATGAACGGTGGATTTTCCCAGAGATCAGAATCTCAACAACATGGAAGCATCAACATGAGTTCGCCTTTGGAACCTGAACAGGCAAGCCAAACTTTCAGAAGCACGACGCTGCAATGAGAAAATTAGGAATTCAGAAATTAAATTACTGTCAAACATGTGGACTAGTTTCATCAGATGAAGCCAAACTTGGCTAAACCTTGGTTTTTTCTTTTCTGGAGTAAAATATGCAATTCGGTCCTTGAAAAATATATTTCCTCTTGCACGTGCGTGTATAATTGATTTATTAGTTAGTTCCTCAAAATTAATAGGTATAGGAAAAATATATACGACTTGGTCCAGTTTATAGACTAAATTAAAATGTAGCGAGTTACATGGTTCAATTTGAGAAGCCAACTCATGCAAAGGAATTAATCAGTCCAAAAACTAGTTCATTATTAGGAGGAATGTACCATCTTTGTAGGAACCAAATTGTGTATTTACTTTTAATATTAGGGTTTCATCATTTCTCGAAGTTTCAATCCTTGAATGTCTTTACCTTTCATTTACTTTCTCTCTTGATATAACATTCCCAATCTCTCATAACCCAGACTACTTACTTATATTACACCTAAGCTTTAGAAAAGAGAGATACATACCCATATTTTATGTATAAATGACTATATGTAATTGGGTCAAATTTGAGCAAAAATACTCAACAATTAGAGACCCCATACTTAAACGACTATATAACCCCGTCCAATAAGCAAAATCAATACTTGTTCAGAACTCTTTTTTCCCGTATGTTACTTTAAATTGTTGAATACACATACATATATCCCTATTTTAAAATTGCAAGAATCACACGCACACACACATAAACAAATTACTGTTACATTGAAGTGAGGAGGTGTAGGATATGGACCAAATCAAAGACAATGAAAAGCATGTGGCAAAGTCAAATGTGTCTTGTTATTTTCACCCAAGGAGGCGAAATTGCTACTCTCTTTCCAAGAATCTTCACATGTTGACAACATTCCAAAGGAAAAGACAAACCCTGATTTTGTTCTACTTTCTTTCATTATTTTTATACTCTCGTACGTAACTATTCACTGTATATATTGACTTCCAAATAAAGCGACTTGGCATATATAATTTATGAAATTTATATATCTTGCTTAGCTTGTTGCCTATACCTAATCCCTTAGATTTTAATTCATACAAATAATTTTATAACTAATCACTCTATCACTAGTACAACAACTTTATAAAATATGGACACTTTCAGGTACTGTGTTGACATGTTTTCATATTTTAATGTTAACAAATTAATTTTTAAAGCTTTGGATTTAAATAAAATAATTCTTATCATGTACATTTTTTGCTTACGAGTTTTACATTATTATGGCTAAACCCAGCTCAACTGCTCCGCCTCACTTTATCATATTTTTTGGCTTAAATCAATATATTATTGTTAGAACGCTAGAGCTTTTCTATACAAATCTCCAATCTGAATAACCTATTAGGCTCTGATATCATAAAAGAAGTTAGAAAAGAAATAAATAAGATTAGAAAAAATGTCATATTTTATTGATATGAAGAGCTTACAATATATATAGATGAACCAAATAATAACTAATAAATATCTTAACAATATCTATAATGATTACAAAATATTTTTTAAATCTAAATAGAATAAATCTTAATAGATAACAAATCTAAACAAAATAAATCTTCATAAATAATATGTCCTAACAATTATTATTGACTAAACCCAGCTTATGAGAGACGAAGATCTCATGGGTATTTTAGGGATGCCTGTTGGCATATTCATTTAACGTATTCCAAAATTTAAATTTAAAATCCTACAATAAGCTAATTCAATTTCCTTAATTTGGCTTATTTGAATGCGTTAATTACACGTAACTACGAAAGTCCCTTTTCTCAAACGCACATTGCAAAAGGGTACTCAAATTTATCTTAAATGAATAAAAAAAAGTTACCTTACAAAAGAAGTAACGTATAAAAAAATGACATTTGTCTTGAAGACAAGGTCCTTGCATTGCCTTCCAGGAGCATCAAAATTTATGCACTAGTAAAGCAAGCCACTAATTAAGAGTAACTAGCTAGGTTATTCTACAGTAAATTCACAATATTCATATACTATAATTTATTATGATATTTATTTTCATCTTTAAATTTGTGCAAATTGTAACTTCTATATAGCTCAAAGTTTCACGGGTTATTATTAATTTATACAAAATAGATTTTAATGTGGTATTTTATCACTGATGAATCAATGTCATAACTTGGACTAGTAATTAACTTACTTGGAGTTATAATATGTATAAAAAGTATCCACGCTATTGATCATGGAATTATTGATTTGAAGTTTGAACTACTACTTAGTTAATTACATCACAATGAAAAGATGAAAAGGGCACTAAATGCGATGTTGAACTTTTAAATGTTAACAAAATATTTTGACATATTAATTTTTTATAATAACAATTATTGAAATAAAAAATTATCATTTGAGACTAAGGATATTAGAATTACACAATTAAAAAATATTTTATAAAATTAAAGAATTAAATTGAAGCTTTATATAAAATTGGAGAACCAAATAGAACATGTACTTTTTCTAATAATAAATAAATTTCAATTAATTCTAGACATTTTAAAAAAATATTATACTAAGTTTGAAGTAGAAGTTGTATGTTTCATATCTTATTAATAGAAATAAAATTCTAATTTTGATTGCTTTTAAAAGGACCTGAAAGGTGCTTAATTCACTTGATTAAAAGAGTTGAATCAATTTATTTTGAGATAATTGATAATAATGATTTCACACAGTAAATATTTGGCTATAACATTTTCAGGTTTCTCGAGCGCCATTGGAATAAAGGGGAGAAAAAAAAGATAGCCTGAAATTCTGGATATCGCTCTCTGCTGAACTGGTCGATAACACGGAGTGCAAAGAGGAATCAATGGCGGCGTTAGGTTTTGATGAAACGTCATTCATTGTTAAAGTTGTGAAAAATGATGAGCCTGCAACAGTAAAAAGGTAACCTGTGATGTTGGCAATTAATTATTTGTTGAAAAAGGCAAAAAAGAAAATACTGTGACAGTTTTTGTCCTAGTTTCTGTCTTTTGTTTCCTGCCATGGAATCATCAATCCGTGAGTGAGCACCACTCTCAGTAATCTCTCATGTCTTCGTCTCTATGATTCATTACCTTATTCCTTTTCTTTCTTTTGCTTTTTTTTCCCCCACTTTTTTCTTTTAAGAAAATTTTCTTCCCAATTCCATGTATATAATTCGCTTTCAAATTGTAATGACCAGTAATGAGAACATAACACTTGAATGACAGATTTAAGTTGTGAATTCATTGAGACTATCATTTCCAAACAATGACAATCAAATTATTAACATTTATCTACACGTTCAGTTTTAAGGGGGGAAAAATTGATGTGTAAGTAAGAAACAAAGCATTTCAAAGATTCAATTTAGGCGAAAATTAGAGAATCGATTATGCACTTTTGCTTTCAACCTATCTATCTCGAGTGAGATGAGAAAGTATTTGGATGAGACCTTCAACAATTGTATATATTATTTATTAATCTCGGTTCTATTTGTATGTGATTTTCTATAGCTAGTCAGGGCCTCCCTTAGCTAATACTTAAACATCCTAACATATATAAGTTGGAGATGGGCTTAAGTTATTTTAATACAAAGGTCAATTTTTTTAAATAATATCTGATTATTCTATGCAAATAAGAAAAATTTATCCTTGAGAACTATATTTTCTTTCTCAGTGAATTCTCCAAATGTAGGCTTTACATCTTCTGTAATATTGTTTTAACATAGTAATAGAGAGAGTGATATAAATAAATAGAAGTATATAATCCTCATTTAATTAACACTGTACAATAAATTAGTTATGTCTAAAACACTTCCTGATGACACAAGCAAGTTAATTATGTACTCAAATCATAAGATGCAAAGGAGATCATTTAATTCAATTCAAATATAAGAAGAAACTACAACAGTCAAAACTGTACACAAACATTATTTACAGGGGAACAAAATCTCACACTGATATGATGTAGAAAAGCTTTTGGAGAAAATGATTTTGTAACTACATATTTTATAAGCCTTTGTATTTCTCTTAATATATATAGTGAGGGTATGAAAACATAGATATAAGAATCAAGCCATCTGGCTACTAATTGTTACAAAAAGGTATTTATAGATAAATATCTAAAGCCCAATTTGTGTTCTCAACATTTATTGGGCTTATATATAGTCTGTAAAGCTGCTTAGAAGATGGAACATATCTGACACAAAGCTTGTGATTAAATACACAGTCACGAATGAAATGAACATCCAACTCGATGTGTTTTGACCAAGTATGGAAGACAGGATTTGAGGCTAGGGCTACAGCATTAAGGTTCTCATGTCAGGCTATTGGAGGTTCTTGAAGATGAAGGCCTAACTCTTGTGTGAAGGATTGAATCCATGCTAACTCAAAGACAAGATCAGCAAGAGCGTGATACTCAAATTCAGTGGTAGAATGAGCAACTACTCTTTGCTTTTTCACTGACTAAGAAATCAAGGAGTTGCTAAAAAAGACACAGTACCTACTAATAGATTGACGAACATTTAGGCAAATAGTCCAATCAGCATCAATAAACCCTTGCAAGGTAAGATGATTACTTGGCTTGATATGTAAACTTAGATCTAGTGTTCCTTTAAGATAACATAGTACATGCTTTAGGGCCTGCAGTGAATAGTAATTAGGGAACTCAAAAATTGACTAAATTTATTCACAATGAACATGATATATGATTGTGTATGAATTAGGTATTGAAGTGAGCCAATTATCTGTCTATATGCTAATAGATCTTTAAGGAATACCATCATTTTTTTGATAGTACTTGTTGACAACCATGGGTGTAGGAATAAGGGCAGTATTTGACATACTAAATCTGTTGAGAAAGTTTTGAATGTACCTCTCTTGTTTTAACTAAGCAGAGTCTTGTCTCATTTTTGTAGGCTTCAATTCCTAGGAAATGATGGAATTAACCTAGATCTTTGGGAGCAAACATAAGGTTGAGTTGCTAAATTAACATGGTTAGAGCTGTTGAGGTGTTCCCAGTGATTATAATATCATCTATGTAGATCAAAACAAAAATAACAAACTTGTCATGTTTAATGAAAAACAGTGATGAATCACTTTTTGAATGCAGGAATCCCTACTTAACACGAGT